GCTGTGGATGTCCAGCTAGATCTCTTGAAAGATGGTAACGTTCGATCTCCCTCACTAGAGCATGAAAGGCAACATAATATTAGTGAGCACGCGTTCCCTTTGTGCAGAGGTAATTAGAGTACTTACGTCGTTGTGGTAGATTTGTGTTCATTGATTCAGGAGAGACAGGAGGACGTTATGGCCGGTTGAGTGTGGAGCCGCCCTCCTTCACCTCTCCCTTCTCCATCGCCTGCCTCCAATGCCGGTAGTTATATCCAATAAGGGTGCCATGACCCCTTTACTTGAGAAGCGTCAGACCGGCCCGTTGTATCAGAAAGCGTTATAGTTTCAACATGCTCCGACGTTGGCGCCGTGGATCTGATCGTCGAGGTAATAAGGCTTGTTGAAGTTGTTGTTGATGGAAAACAACTTGGTGGCGTAGAACAGCCTAAATAAATTGAGACATCAGGGGGTAGGGATGGAAGAAGATGAAACGCGTAAGTCGAAGATTGGAGAAACAGCGCGGGGCTTATCAGCTTTGCTGTCCCATTCCGAGTCGTCAGCAACGTGGGAGGCTTTGAAGATTCAGGGATTTCCTTTGTAGTGCTGGCAGAATCAGAATTGTGGAAAGGCCTTTCTCCTATCGGAGCTGGCAGGTGAGCTGGCAACGTGCTTGTACCGGCAAACACCAGTATCCGGACATATGATGTCACGAGCGAGGCTGATTTCCTACTTGCACTCTTGCGCTTGCGGACGCCATGCGCTTGCTTGCACCGACCTGGAACACCAATATGGCGACGTATGCTCCGCTTTGAAGGCGTTTTGATGCTTGATTGGCATCCTGTTCGCACTACAACTCGGAATCTATAAGAGACTTCCACAGACCAACTGGCAACACTTGACTAGCCTGGCCTACTTTGTATTGCCCAATGCAGCCTGCTTGATAGCTTCCATCTTTTCGGTAAAGAGCTTCACCATTCTTTGTGCGTCTGGGTTGTTCTCGTTTCCATAAATCGCAAACATGGTAAAGCCTTCTGGCATACTTTCCGGCGACAGAGATGGGTAGTGTGTGCTGATGAGTTGTAAGAGCGCTTTGTTGACATACTATGCATTATAACAGTCGTTCAGTGCACGGTTCAGTTTATGCCTCAAAGTATGCCTGAGCGGAAAGCAAAGTGATACTCACAGCATAGCCCCTTTCACTGTAATGTAATCCATCCGTGAAGAGCTCGCTAGTCTTCAGGTCACCCCTGTTGACAGCATCATCATGCAGCTTCCACGCATCCACCACACCCACATCCGCCTCCTTTGCGACATCCAGAACGACATCTCGAATCTGTTTGGCAGCTTCAGGAGATCGATTATCCGAGAACTCGCTTGGTATCCCTTGTTCCCTCCCGAAAGCGGTCCATGCGGCCATATCGACGGTGGAAGGAGTGAGCAAGATCACTTTGGCGTTGGGCTGGGTTTCTTGCAGGAATTTCAAGGTGGCCTTTACGTTTTGTTTGAAGTCGTCTGCAGGAACCTTTTGACAAGAAGATTAATGCCGATGGCCAGGCGGGATACGTTTTTGGGCAACCTACATGCTGGATCCCGTGTGTGGTCCTGAATAACCAGTTGTCAGTCCTCTTCCGTATGGCTTGACAAGCTGCTCAAGACTCACGCATCGTTAGTACCGATATGAACGATGCAAATCTTCACTTCCCCGTTAGGCCATTGGAAGTCGTCCTTGAACTTGTTCAGCAACTGCTGCGAGTTGCTAGATTGGTCAATGTTATTCAGCCCATCGACATGCCGCGATTGCCAGCGGTACTCTACATACTATCCTCCCATTCCACGGTTGATAATATCGGCCTTGCCTTGATACTAGCGTGCGAGAAAACTATCAGCACAGGTAAAGCGTGGCGAACGGACGAATACTGACTGCATCTACCAGAGCAGCACCATATCCGCCAATCTTGAATGCCTGCTGCGAGATTGAATCGCCAGTAACGACGATTTGGGGGTAGGAAGGAGGCATGTTGGTTCTATCGGGATTGCGGTCGAGAATCACGTTCAAACGAATTGGTCGTGTATGTCGAAAGCTTTATAGTAGCGTGCCGTCGCGCTGTGCTGCTGGATAACCTGGCGGGTAGGTGACGGAGTGCATGTTTGTCGGATAACCCAGATCCAAGGACGAACGGTCATGAAGCGGGGTTCACAGCTGGAGTCATGGAGTCACTGTGTTAGAGTGTGTTAGGCAACCAATTGTTACCGAGGCACGGATCTTTCAACTCCGATACTACTCCGATTCGATCCTTATATAGCACCGGGGCAATGCCGAAACATACGATCGAGGCCACCTCTTTATTGGTCGTCGCAACAGGATAGGGAACTGCCACCAGCAGTTTCGCTAAGCACATACTGAATTGTTGGTAGTTGAGCAGTACCGTCCTGTCATATTGCCTATCCCGTTGGTAGTTGATGTTACTGTCGAACCTCATGTCGATTGGTTGTACTGCTCATGAACAATTACAGATGTACCATAATATCAGAGGGTGTCAAGTTCGCTTCCTTGTTGCGCCATTCGTACTCGGAGCTCATTGCACTTCCAAATCACGGTGCGGATTCTGCATGCGGAAACTTGTAGTAAACGGATTAGACCAGCCTAAGTGTTCCTCACCACAGCTGTGTAGGCCGAATTCCCTTTGCAACCGTGTTCTCTGGAACGTGCGTATTGATCGATACGCTCCTGTTCGGTATATGCGTCTCTAATCTCATCCAGCTCATTAATGATTTTACAACCAAGGAAAGCGAATGCTCAACCATGATCCGATTGACAACTCTTTTCCTTTTCCTTTATCAAGGGCAGAGTTGCTTAACCAACAATGATCTTCTCGTCCTCGCTGAAGTCGTAGGCCGGAATCTCGAGGTTGAGCTGTGAAAAAGGCAAGAAGCGCTATTAGAGGGGTCTAACAATAATGACAGAACCCAGTTGCTTACAGGAGCAGGACCCTTTCTTATTCTACCAGAGATATCGTAGTGGGAACCGTGACAAGGGCAGAACCAACCTCCGTAGTCACCAGCTTCACCGATAGGAACACAACCCAAATGTGTGCAGACCTGCAAAGTAGCGCGATGAGTGAATACAGGTAGACCATAAGACGTGAAATGTCAAGCCCGGACTTACACCCAACATGACCAACCATTCTGGCCTCTTGACTCGATCATCATCAGCCTGAGGATCACGCAAGCTCTTGACATCAACCTTGTTGGCCTCGTCAATCTCATCCGCAGTTCGGTGTCGAATGAAAACTGGCTTTCCTCGCCACTTGACAATCAAGTTCTTTCCCTCCGGGATGGCGCTCATCTCGACCTCGACCTTGGCCAAAGCCAACACATCGGCGGAAGCGGCCATGTTGGAGAGAATGTCGGAAACGGTGGACTTGGCACCGGAAGCGGCGAGCAGACCCATGGAGCCGACCATGAAGTATGACAGGGTTCGGTTGGTGTTGGGGTTCTGGGCCATGTAGGGGGTGAAGTCTGGGATGTCGGTGGTGGCCCGTTCAACGGCTCGGGATGTGGAGAAAGTTCGGTGTTGCAAGATACCAGTGGCTCGAACTGTAGAGAGGGAATTTTGTGTAAGCATTCGATCCACCTTGCGGTCTCCGAATAAGTTGCACTCGAAACGAATTGCAATACACCATTATCGGCTTGCGATATATCCATTCCAGCCTCGACTGCGTTCTTCGTCCCCGCCGCACTGCAACACTGCCCGAATGACCTCGACGCGGTCAACGCACGACATCTGATACCGTCGCCAGCGTTCCTCTCCAACGAGACTTTTTTGGCATTCCATCGAGTATTCAACATTTCCTCGTATTGAGTACCCTCACGCTTGCGATACCTTAACATTCTCCTGCGTCTACCGCTGCGCCTTCCTTTTCCATCCTCTATCCGACGGCACACTCACCATTGACATTGAGAGACTGCTTCAACGCACCTCGAGAACCGACCCATGACGGGGTAACATCCTTTCGGGGTCCGTGTGCTCCATGCTCATCGGGAGAGTGACCCGATCCAACACCTCCGTGAACCCCCTTGAGGGCAAAGTTGACGGCTGACCGAGGAACGCCAGTCGCGGCGGATCGAACAGCGGGTGCGAGGTTGACTCGGTGGATCATGGTAGACATGTTTTTCCAAGAGGCTGAATGGTGAGGATGTAGCAGAGCTGAGAAGGCCGCAACACAGAGCCGGGAGAGAGAAGTGTGAAATCAACCGAACCAGATAGAGACGACAATCGGTGATGTTCGATCTCTCAGCCCAGGTGTCAGTCGGGTTTGTTTTTTGCGAGTCTGGTCATTGGTTCTCGAGCCAGAACGCATTCGGGCGCACCGCGCGAGGCCAGCCGTGATTCTAGTTCTCAACTTTCTCACCATGGGCCGCACAACATATGTCACCTGTGTCTTTTACTTCTATTCGATGGAGCAGGTAGGTGGACTACTTTGTAGGCAAACAAGTATCAAAAATTGTTCTATCTTCATCTTTTTTTCGAGTCGGAGCCATACAGGAGTAGAGAGCATGCACATATCAAATCTGCGACTGAGTTGAACATCTTTCCTTGGCCTCTCAAGCTGGCTCTTGCAGTGGGTTGTGGATCCATTAGCAAATACCTTGCCACAAATTGACCCCTTGAAGCTCGTTACACGGTGGCTGATGACGATTTGTATGAAGACCTCCTTTAGTGCGACTCGCGCTGAAGCAAATGTGTTTGACAGCGGTTTGGCCATTGGAAAATACACCCCACGTATTCTGCTGATCATCATGTCAAAGTTTCTGAAGTGATACGAAATCAGACGCCAGCTTCTTGAAGCTGGGACTCTCCTCCGTCTGATGGTGGCATCCGCGTCCTAGGATACTCGATATTGGCAGAGATATCCCAAAAAGGGAAGGCATGTAGGGTCGAGGACCTTATTCTGGAAGATTTTCCCCTAGACCCCAAATGGCAAGTCTTAAAAGGAATTGAGACACACAAAAAGACATGTCCGCTCTGTGGATTGAACACAGGACCTGCGGTAAGCCATAACCGGATTAGATCCGTATAATGCGCTTCAGACCGTCGCTCTCCCACTGAGCTAAGCAGACTTTGATGAATGTTGTCTTTGTTGATCATAAGTGCAAAGAGAAACAACCTGGAGGTTGAACCGGAGCTTTTTCCGTCAGATTTACCGGAAGGTGCTGTGCTTTCCCCGCCCTACTGGTATACAGCTCGGTGATCTGTCGGCAGTACGGAAACAACCCTTCGAACAGCCAACTTCACTGTCGGTGTCTTGTTCCTCGTCGTTCAATGGTGGAATCAAGCCGACAGGTTCGTTGCAAAGGCCTTAGGCCCCCTTGCCTACTTACGGATATCCTACAGGAATCATACATATAGTACAGGGTGTAGTTCTCCACCACATTCAGAAGGTTCCAAGATGGAGGCAAACTTTGCTTTGAACAGCGCACTCTGCGACCGACTACATCACCATGTTGACTACACCATTCAAGGTGCACGTGTCGTCGGTGCCTCTCAAGCTGCGCTCTGTAGGCCAGTATTCGATGGCTACCACCGTAGCCTCGACAGTAAAGCAAGTGGAAGTTGCGCTGGCTGGCGGCCAATCGCCAAGAAAGCCCAGGGCTGAGGGAACCATCGCATCCGTCTTTGCATCTCTGTCTGGCGAAAAGGCGGTTGCTCTGCCCGACCGTTTCAGTGACCTCAAGAGGTGAGTATACTCCCGTCCTCGACAGAGACGCCTGACTGATTCATATTGACCAGAGAGATTCTTCACTCGACCGACTTGCAGCATGCGGCGCGCCGAGCTTGGGTAGACTTGTGTCGACACCTGTCAGTGAAAACCAAGGAAATCGCAGATGCCGGTAATTCGGTGAGTCGCAAAAGATTCCAAGCCATCTGCGCCTATCACTGATAAGCGGCGACTCTGCAGATAATCCCTGAAGTCGACTACAAGGACATTGTAAACGGTGTTGCCCCCTCTCTGGTTGAACAGATCAAGGCCAGCGGTACCGTCGTCGTCCGAGGAGTCGTTCCGGAGCAAAAGGCAAGTGCTTGTTAGCCTGATTCCGAGAAGTTGCTGACCCTTCTAAATCCCAACTAGGCACTGAAGTGGTTCGATTCTATCAAGCAGTACATCGCGCAGAATCCGCAGGTCAAGGGATTTCCGGAAGATGACAAGGCAGTATTCGAGCTTTAGTGAGTCCCCTCACCCGTGCCATGTCATACAGTCATTAACGGAAAATGGGTTGTGGTCAGTTGGTCGAGAGCACAGCTAGAAGCACGGTCGTGCTCCTCTTCGCTGGACGTCCAGCGTTTTCTCCTTTCTCTGTTCAACAAGAATTCGACGTGTCACGCCGACGTATCTTTCTCCGCGCCTCTCACCTATTGCGACCGCCTCCGTATCCGTCGACCAGGAGATAGCAGGTTCGCCCTAGGAGCCCATGTAGACGGTGGAAGTGTAGAGCGATGGGAAGACACAACGTATAGGAGCTCATACAAGTCGATACTTGAAGGCCGTTGGCGCGAACATGACGCATGGGACATCGGTAAGTTTCAATCGGTGAAGACGTGATGCGGTATCGTGTACTGATATCGGCCATTGCAGGTGGAAGACCCACTGCAAACCAGAATTTATACGATGGGCCTGGTGCTGTATGTATTCTTTCAGCGATTTTACACCAGTGAGGCGTCACTTATCCATCGCTTGCCTTTCCAGTGCGGTATCTTCCGAGCATTTCAAGGTTGGACCAGTCTCAGCAACACTGGACCGGGTGAGGGCACCCTCAAAGTATTCCCAGCTATCAAGGAAAGCACGGCATACATCATTCTTCGTCCATTCTTCAAGTATGTATCTCCGTCCTGAGCATGCTTCCGCTTGAAGCTGCTGACGCTGAGCCGTACGTTCTGCAGAGCAAAACAGCCCAAGTCCTCGTTGCCCGACGAGGCTTATCTCCACCCTGCAAATTGGGAGATGGATCTTTCTTCCGCGTTCCCCGGATCGCCTCTGGGACGCTCGCAAGAGCTCAATGATGATACTCATCCCCATCTGTGTCTAAAGGAAACGTTGCTTCCGATGAAACCAGTGAAACCCGGAGACCAAGTGTGGTGGCACTGTGATGGCATACATGCCGTAGAGGATGAGCACAAGGGCTCCAGCTCGTCAAGTGTACTGTACATTCCGTCTGTGCCGCTTACCGAAGCGAACGCCCGGTATATCAAGGACCAACGCGACAACTATTTGGAAAGGATTCCTCCCCCTGATTTCCCAGGAGGTGAAGGAGAGAAATTCTTCGAAGGCACTGGAGGAGACGCTGACATCGTCACAGAACAAGGCAAGCAAGCCATGGGTCTTGCGCCTCTGAGTCTTGACGACATTGACGCTAGCGAAAAGCTGCTTCGTGAGAAAGCGTAGGTCCTTCTTCTTTTGACAGATGATAGTCGTGCATCTGATCACCCCTGGACTTTTGGATCGCAGCAACAAGATATGGGGTTTCTAAAAATGATGCGCTTTCGTCAACATATTTACCGTGCCAGGTTGTGCGATCGTAAACCCTACTGTAACATATTAGCGATCAATATTCAATGCATTTTGTATCATGAATATCACAAGTATCGATTACCACGATTACAACGTCTGTCTCTCAGCGCCAACGTCTCTCTTTCAGCGGGGATTATACAGCTCCTCGTGGCTTTCCCATTCCGAAGGATCCGCTGGCAGATCCCACGAGATCATGTCCATTAGATCGCCCGGGATGGTGATATTCAGCATCTCCAAGATGTCGCTATCAGCTTCCGTTCCGGGAGTGGATACTCTTTCCAAGGCCTTTGCAAAGAAAGATGCATGCCACTGATTTACACCTTCTTTGTGCGGAGTCTGTCTGATGCCCCTTCTTAGACGCTCTAGGATCGTTGTCATCCAAAAGGCGAACGTCTCAGACATCCCACCGGGAGCTGTGCGAGCTTCTTGGCTCTGCGAAGGGGTTCGGCAGTATGTCAATCCTCACATTAGATTGCTTTACAGGACAGCACACTCACTTGTATCAGGACGGCCACCGGAAGAGATAGCATGGTGAAAAAATTGTTGTGTCCATACTGGTACACGTCATCCCGTAGATCAAGCGCTGCGTATTGCAGCAACGACGCTATCCCAAACCGCGAAATGACAGGCGTTCAAGTGTGCACAGGAGTGGCCTAGCCATTTTGACTACTCACCGGCGTGTTCGAGAGCGACCTTTTCGTTTGTTCGTTGTATATTATCCCGTAGCGACATCCAATGAAGCCTTAACACGATATGTGCGTAATGGTAGTACACATTCCCGAGATATCCGAGCCGATATGAATCTACACATCAAGAGTGTCAGTGAGACCATGCAGGTCTTTAGTCACAGTTCGCTTAGAATGTTACAGAATGGCCTATTCACCTTTGGTATGTTCACCCACCCAATCATGCCGCCATTCCTCTAGAGCCGCAATGATGCACATCCTCTCAAAGTGAGTAGCCGCCTTGTCGGCCTAAGAACATGCTTGCTGGGAGTTAGTTTGGCACATCGTTCGAAAAGGCGACGTGCGCTTACCAGGATACGTCTCAACTTGATGAGAGCTACAATCGACTGATCTTCAAAAGACGCCACGGCCTGAAACGTGATAGATCAGGAGACTACAAGTAAATCCAGGACCACGTTTTGACCTACTGTGTCGTTCGGCCAGACTTGTAGATCTACCATCAATGATGCCTCCGCTATTAGCGGCGGTCTGCCCAACTGTGTTGCCCAGCTACAAAATGCGAGTCGGTGAAAAGCGCAACCAGTGCTTCTTCGGATGGCGACGTACCTGCGATCCGCGATGAAGCAAGTGAGCCACGTTCTTTCGGAATTACGTGCCAACAGCGCGGTGTCATGTGTCTGTGGCAGCGATGTTGGCGGTGGACTTAGATTGAGGCCGATTTCTACTGCTATGCGTACTGCAGAAGTCATATGAAGGGTTATAGATCAGCCGCCGGCAAGAGAGCCAGCCCAGGAACAACTTACTGGCATGTCCAAAGAGCGACCACCCAAGATCTTCCTCTCCCAGCTTAGGTTCCGCAAGAAAGGTAGCCCACACCATGCATGCTTGACAGATATAGACGCTTTTGTTATAGCCTAATAATATCCGAGGCCATAAAATACTGTTGATGTGTCTGTCCAATGCCGTGGACAGTCTGGCGGCATCTGGGACGGCCTGTACTGATGTATGCCTAGCGGCTGTATGAAGAATGACGCATGTCAAAAGGGTAGAGCTACGTCGGACGAAATGTAGGGTGTGAATCCGATAGTCCAGGAAGGCTGCATAATTGGCCAACTTCGACCAAAACCTGTAGAAATGGGATGTGTCAGTGATACGGCGTGCGCAGCCGAGGCAATCTAAGCGAGAAAGGTACTAACAGATCGAACAGTCTCTCCGCTGTTTGAATGCTCAACATACCCATGTTGACAGGATCCAACTGAGCATCTACATCCAGCTTGCTGGCATATCTGATGCGAGAGGACCATTTCGAGGCCAAAAGCGTTGACCGGGATTGTTGCGGAGTGTTGCCATCGCTGGAATACGAAAGTAGCGTGTCACCTATGACATTTCGCCAAACAACAGTATTGCCAAATATGCCTGACTATATTAGCCAAAGCAACGGTACGTGAGGGGGTGAAGACAGACCCACCTTGACTCCTCGCTTCTGCTGTTTTCGCAAGTAGAGCCAGAGGGGACTGTTCTAGGAAGCCGTGGTTATATGATGGGTTGTTGTCGAGCGCTGGATCGAGATTCTCAGAAGGAGGCTGGGAGAAGAGCTCATCCCTCTTCGGGGTCTGCCTGGAATCCAACCCTTCGTCCCCCAGTATCGTGGTTGCAAGCTGGCGTGAGCTCTCAACGCACTTGGAGACGGCGGCAGTGCTATCGGACCGTTGGTAGTTCGACTGTCGGTGTAAATGTGCTTCTTGGGGATTTTGTGCAGATAGGCTCCTCGTTTTCAAACCACTCGCACTTCGCATATTCTTGGACCCCAGCTTCCTTCCCCTGCGATGTTCCACGTATACGCACTCCAGTCCATGCCGTTTACACT